AGAATTACATGGAGCAAGCTTATGGATATATTCTCTTCCAGATTCAGGATATGTTTTACTGAAACTGAAACGCTAGCATAGGTTTAAGAACGTTTGAGACACTGTGTGACGTGTTTGACTTCTCGTCCAAAAAGGATGACGAGTCATCGAATCTGACTGAGCGACTGACTATGACTGTTTGGTGATCGCGCTCCACCCTTGTTGTCGATGTTATGCTGCACTATTAATCTGCTCTGGGCACGAAGTGAAGCCACTTGCCTCCAGCTTACTTTCATGCCTCCTTTCCTTTGATATCAGATGTCTTTTTCTGATATAAAGCAAGAGAAACAATATTATACATAAGACTTGTGCTACAGGTATTTTTTATTGAAAAGGAGACCGGATTGCCAATTTGTGTTTTGGATTAATAATTTTAATTAATTTGTACTGTATTAAGCATAAAGATTTCTCTCCTTTAAAGTATCTTTTTAGCAAGGCGTTTCCTAAAGTACGGGTGTCGACGAACGATTTCAAGTGGCCTGCTTTATCGTCAGCCGTCGTAATGATGGTTTGTTCAGACAATTATGAAGGCTTCAACTTCGATGCATTGGCCAGTAGTGTCCTTTTGTTGCCGTTTTTTGCTCTCAGATGCTCTTCAGTGGACGAGAAAGTACTGTACTGTTGTTATTGTCCTTTACTCTGATCACTGCGTTTCATAATGTTCTGAGTTTTGCAACTTTTGATTGATTATATAGGCTTAAGTAATGTTCTGTAAGAAACTAGGGGGATGTCATTTAAAATCGTTTTAATTTTTTTTTAGCATTGTTAGGTAGAGGAATCGAGACTCTTTCAGTCCGGTGGGAATATCTGTGATAATGATACAAATACGGAAGACTTTGTAGATGCGAAGACATAAACGGGCTTTCTTTCGCATGGCTCGTCCGTGTAATATACGAGAGGTAGAAAATCGGCTAGAGGCAACAGTTTTCATGTCATTTTTTTGGTGCGCTGTGTTACATGGCCTTTTGTCTATGCATTAATCATAATCAGAGAGAAGAAGCGATTTACTACCTAACTGGATGTACATTTAGGACCTTCAGTGTCTGAGAGTGTTTCAAGCGAAGTTTGGCAACAGCGAAATAGTAATCGCTGCCGATTCCTGCCCTCAGTGTGATCTGCCGGAGTCAGAACAGGCATCAGAGATGCATCTCCCCGTGAACATCAGCATCCGACTTTCTCCCCCTGACTGTCAATCTACGTCGGGTGGTTACGATTCAGTGGATTCCACGCAGAGTTCAATGATGTCTTACGAAATGTTCTACGACAGACCATGTTCGTCTGAAGATTACATGTCAGTTGCTGAACATCATAAAATCTTGGCGTCTCCTCTTCACTTGAGAAAGTATGAGGACCTGCAGACTTGCCTCGCTCGTATTCATAAGGTATCGCGACATGCGTTGCATTTTGTGACTCCAATAATGGCCGACCTTATGTTTCTAGCTGCTCGGTCTCCATCTCTACAACATGGTTGCGAAGGTCAATACTTGGCAAGAGGCAATTATCCATCGTGCAATTGATACCGCTTTCTGCATGGCTCGCGACCAGAGCATCACTCCCAGGCGGCTCAGGTATGTCAGTCGGAGGGAGCTGGAGATCTACATGCAGATGCTAGCACTGTTGATGCGCTACTCGCGCATTTCAAAGGAACTCATTGATGGAGCACTCGACACTGTCAACAAGCGTCCGGTTGACGACACCGTTGTGCTCGACGACGGCGCCTGCCGATCGGGTAGGCCCTCTTAAAGT